CCCCCCCCCCAACCCCATGGCATGACCGCACTACACTTGATTAGAAAACCCAACATCACAGCATGATTTCTTAATGACCCAAGTGGGGGTTTCACTCTCCTGGGTGGTCAAAAGTGCTGGCTGGCTGTGCCTTTATTTCCTAAGATATGGCAACCTAATATGTGAAATACCAATCTCACTGCAGTAAGGGAAAATAAGAATTCTGGATATGCTATCACGAAGCAATCCACAGCTGTGGAATTTTTAGTTTTGTGCTTTATCCGTTCCATAATCACACTTTCCCTACTAGACTGAGCATTTCTGGCTACAGTACAATATATGAGGCTAAGATCATGAGCTTGAAGCACTTGAGAGTCCATTCCTGCATCCTTCTCTGTTAGATGAAATCCTGGCATCTTTCAAGGCCTGGTTCAAATATACCCTCTTCTATACAGCCTTCCTTGATGCTCCCCATCCCCATCTGTGCACTCCCTCCCTGCAGGCAGTACTCATTCCTTCCTTCCCTGTATTCACTGTGCACTAACAGCATGAAATGGCGAAGAGGATACAGGCATGAAGCATTCAACAATCATTTACTGAACTTCTACTGGGTGCCAGGTACTGGGGTTCAAGGACAAACAATACATGATTTCCACCTTCAAAGAACTTTTAATTTAAGAGATATAGATAATTTTCAATATAATGTGGTAGGTAAGAATACAGGCATGTAATAAGAGCTCATAGGAGCACTTAGCCCAATTTGGAGGAGGAGATTCCTGAGCTGGGCCTTAAAAATCACCTATAAGGATGGCAAGGGCTCTTCAGGCAGGGGCAACAGCAAGGGCAGGGCACGAAGGTATGAGAGTATGCGCTAAGGGAAACTACAAGCAGTTGATAATTCAATCTTTTTCCTCCCTTCCTCCTCTCTCTTTTTTCCTTTGTTCATTTTAAAGGAATCTTTTAAAAAGACTATAAAATGGGAGATGTATTGCAGAAAATGAGGCTAGAATGGAAAGCAGGTCTTGAAGAGTCTTGAATGCTAGGCCAAGGAACTTACATAATATCATAGTGAGGAACAGGGGAGATAAATAGTTAACATGTACTCTTAGTTTAAAAAAACTTTTTAAATCACAAAAGTTAACACTGCCTTCGCTTTTAAAATTTCAAACAACTCAGAATTATAAAAGTAAAAAGTGAGATTTGCATTTTGGGCAGAACACTGTGGCAGGGGTATAGGTTTAAGATTTGTAAGATTCTTAGGTTTTTAGATTTCGGGGGGG